TATGTCAGTCATTGAAAAATATGGTCTCTGAATTCCATTTAATTTCTGATATCTCTATTACAAGTCTTTGCACAATCTATCAGAAACAAGAATTTTATTCCTTTGTGTTCTACTTCTCTCACACCAGAGAGAGAATCCTGGATATCATAATCTGTTATTACAAACATCATTTCAATATTACTTTTCATTTAGAGGATCAAGAGGACAAAAAAGATTTTTTTTGTAGATTTCACTTAAGTATGGCTTAAAGTAAGTGAAATGTGGAGTCGTACTGTGTACACAGATGCATTCCAGAAAAAACACCCCTGTAGACTATTTTTCCATTAACATTGTTGAGATAAAACCCACATCTTCAAATTGCCATTTCCATTTAAACGCTGCCAGGGAAATACTTCCATTCTTTAAGTTGCACTGCCCTCTGGGGGAGAGGATCTTCAGCAGCTGTAGTTCCATGTCCATGATGCGAGAACAAAGGCCTTCCTCTGTTTTCTCCTTCAGTTTTGAAGGTTGAACATTTTCATTCCTCCAAATGTTATGCTGATGCTTCATATGATTTTGGCATTATACACAAAGGCGAGTGAGGCCTAATTACAGATATGTTTTATTTGCTTTTTTATTCCCTTGCATGTTCTCTTTGTGTGTGTGTGTGTGCTCGTGTGTGTGTGTGTGTTTGCGCGCGCGCGCGCTTGTAAATCTTGTCTGGGAAGGTTTGGAGGTGCTTTTATATCTTTCTGAAATTTCTGGATGTAAGATAGTCTATCCATGATGAAGGTCTGATGCTGCTGTACCATAGTGTACATCAAGATCAACACTGTTCACAAAGTTTTTTAACTTCTGCTTATGCAGTGCATATTCCTAACACATACATGGGCACTGCCTAACCATACAGAGAATTCCTGGGCTTACGGTGCACGTGCTACACACATGGTCACCATACATATACTTGCTGTTTCCTGCAAGCCACAGGGTTTATTCTGTGTTTATCAGGCAGTGTAGTATTTATATAGGGTTTCCAGCATCCTACTTGCTTTCTCCTTCAAGCAACAAATGCAATGAATGGTAACTCAAATAGTGAGGGCAGGAATTCACGGCAAGAAGCACAGCCTCCCTCGGTGTGAGGCAGGTAGGCTACATGTCCACCTCCCATCCAGAGCAATTGTCAGGATTCTCCCTTCATGCTGTTTACCAGTGTGTTGAATGACTAACAAAAAAATAGATTTGGAAAAGCCTTGCCTAAAGAATAAGCCTGTTTATTGTATCCTGTTCTGTCTAGCTCACTCTTCCTCTCAGTAGTCTGGGATCATGAACTCAAGAGACATAATGGTTACTAGGGCTTTTCTGCTGTAGGTTAAAGTGTGCATAGCTGTGTTTGGGCTCCCCCACAATGCAGCTCTGGACTCTCTGCAGATCTGGTGTTTGCTGAAGGAATTGATGGAAGTTGCTTGTGCAGACCGTGGAACTGACAGGTGGTCTCTAGTCTGGAAAAATCATCATTTTCCAATGAATAGCAGACAAAAAGGCAGGTTTTAGTAAGAAGTTCCCTAAAACAAACTTGTAAGAAGTTCCCTAATACAAACAAGGAAAAAAAATTTATTTCTTCTATTTGAGTTCTGGTATTTTCTAAAAAAAAGAAAAATTCAGAGGGCCAGTCAAATAATAGACAATTATAATTCTCATAATAAGCAGGATATCACACTGGGGAAGCCATCTGGGACAGATATCTGGGTATGGTGAATTTCACCCCATTCAAACTAAGTAAAGCTGATGCACTGCACCACAAGAATGGATTCAAACCTAGCAATGCTGCAAGAAGCTTTTCCAGTGACAAGTGGACTGACAGCAATTAGTTAAAAGAAACTCCAGTACAAAGGAAAGTATTTACCATCATGGCTGATGGTAAGCAAAGTCCTAAGCATTTCCATATCAGAACATATCAGCCAAAACAGACCTCCAAATTCCCAAAGAACAACATTGAGGAACCACTAGTTTCTACACAACTGAAATTTCACAATGATTTAAAGCTGTCAGGCAAGCTGTACAACTTGAAAGTGGAATAAAATTCTAAAAGAGAAATTCCTGTAGTAGATCTTTTCTCTTTTACAATTTCTTAGAAAAAAATGTGTAATGAAGAGAAGTAGGACTTGTTTCAGGGAAGTATATGTAATGCGTCAGCATCTCTCCACAGTAGATGCTCCAAATAAGACAGCAAAAATAATGACTGCATCAGAGAACAATGATGTGATTTAATATTTGGAAAGAAAAGAGATCAGGTTGTTATGGACAGAAATAGTCTGCCTTGGCTGTAAGGAAAAAGAGTACACTGTGAAGACTGCGGGTATATTGAAGTGGAAAAAAAAATCAGTAACTAATGAAAACTCACATTTCAAGAAGATTAAGGGCTCCACAAAGGAGAAGGAATGGAGATTATGAATTCATCACATGAAGCAAGCCACAGTGTTACCTGCGAGCTGGTGCTGAGCCTCTAGGACCTTCTGGCTATTGTGGTGGCGTTAAGCAGAAAATGAGCACAGCACACTTCACTGGCTCAAATTAGTGCACTAACAAAAGTGAACATTAAGAATTACTGTTGTGGATCTACTGGCCAAATAAAGGGACTCCAAAATTTTTCCCCACCCACTACTCTCCCTTTGCCCTTCTGAGAAGACACAGGATGCAGGAGCATCAAATACTAGTTCACTGCCAATCACAGCCTCATGCTGCAAGGAGCAGGAGAGAGGAGCACTCACTGCCTTCCTCTCCCCATTGTCTTTTCTCCTCCTTGGCACAGCTGCAAATCCATTTCCATTACACTACCAAACACAGGGGAAGGTCCTGTTACATTACACTGAGTCTTGTGTGGAAAGCTGGCTCAGGCTCAGACCCTATGCTCAAATCAGAGCTCATCTGCACCTCCACTGCTATCTTAGAGTAGGACTAGAAGGTGCTTATTGACAACAGACTAAGGAGAGCCTGATGGCCACTGATGACTAGAGATTATTTAGCCAAGGAGCTGATGCACCCTAACAGTTGATCCCATCTCCCACTCTCAAGTACTTCCACTTCAGCAACATTACTACTTTTATAGAGACTTTCCAAGGCTTTCTTAAACTTTTGGTAAAGATGGGTATGCTGCATGTTCATGCAACAAGTTCAGCATTCAATGCCTGCTGAACACATCCGTGTATTTACCTTTCAAACTAACAGCTATAACCATTTTGTTAATTATTCCCATTCCCCTTTTCATTACTAGACAACAATTGCAGCCTTAAACCTTCAGCCTGCAGAAACTCCTTCTTAGCTTTTTCTTTTCATGTTTGATTTTGAAAATAGGATTGCCTTTAAACTCAATTACAAATAATAGACTTAGCAACATCCATAGATACGTCCAATCTGAGCAGCAGCTTAGCATGTAGTACTATAATCACTGCATGTTAGTAAGGGAAACTTGTGAGAGACAAAAACATTCCTGATTTGTAAAATGATGTGAAATGTTCTGCCTCATACTGCTAAGTATTTTTTTTAAAATTCAATTTCTTTACGTATCCTTCTGAAGTACCTACTGTATGTATTAAGACACCTTTGACAAATTAAAGGGTTGCATTTTTCAGCTGAGACAGTACCCTTGGTATTATAATGTCTGTATTATTAAAAATGTACATTTTCTGTTCCCTGATTGTCTTATTATTTTGTAAGGATTTTTGAAGAATACTTTTTCGTTTAGGGCTATTTTCTTTTTTGGACTCTTTTCTTCTTTTGGGCTGTGTTCATCTTCTATGTAGCATCACCAGAAAGCCCCGCAGGCTCAACACAATAGATACTTGTAAGAAACATGGTCCCTAATATGATATGATGTAGTAAAGATTTTATATGGTTTTTATGGGTTGAAGCCTTCTGGTTAGTATTGGGCAGGTGAGTACAGCCATCCTGCTTCAGCCCATTGGCCGAATTTGGGAGGTGCTGGGAAACAGCACAGAAAGTGCTGGCAGCTGTTGCAGGGAGCCTGGCCCATTGCTCCGGGCAACATCTTCCCCTCTTTCTGCCACTCCCTGGCTTAGGTACTCGTGGGGAGGCAATGAAGAAGCACAGGCCAACTCTTAACCACCTGATGTCCTTCTAACTCATCAAAGGACTGTGTGTGTGCATGTGACCAAAACACAGGGTGGCACAGGCAGCCACAGCCAGTCAGCCGCTTGTCTTGCCAGGGGATGCCAGAGGCCTGCCACCAGGGATGGCACTGCCGGCCCGTTGTCCAGAAAATCGGATTCTTTACCTGGTGTGCAACAAACTGATAATCACACACCCAAGAGAGACACTGATTAGTTATTTATCTCTAGAGTTGTGTAAGCCTGGTTGCTCAGTGGTGTTCCACAAATGAAACATGCCCCTCTGGACTTTCCACGCCATTATTTATACACAGAAATTCAGAGTTAGTAATTTTCCAAGTACAAATCTTGTACTACGATTAGCTAGAAATTGCCATACAAGCTACATGACCCCAGCTGACTTCTACATATGCTCAGGGTAAGGGTCTGCACCTGGACAGGGGTCTTTTTGATCTGTACGTGTGATTTTTAGCATTATAATGAACATAGCTCAGCTACAGGATACATGGACCTCGAGTATTTTGCCAAGTTAGCAATGTATACATAGACATGGATCAACATGGATTTACTACATCATTAAAGTTTGTTAGTTCCCTGATGTCCTTCACTAAGGGATGGTGTTATTTGTTCTACTGACAGACAAGAACATCTTGATTTACTATATCCATAGTTTACAAGTAACAAGCTTTAAGCTTTAGTTCCCGGGTGCCCTTGACTAAGGGATACTGGCTGCTGCCTGTCCCACTGGTTAGGTATCCTTTCTTGCTGATTAGGCTTGAAAGCGTACAAAGATCTGACACCAAAGAACAGCCCGGCTTCACATACTGTCGACATATTCCACAGACCCCGGCGAGCCGCTCCCGGGCGGTGGACAAGGCAGCTCTGCCTCCTCCAGGATGGAAGTGACGCTCCCGTTGCCGTCAGAGCGGCGGAAGCGCCGCTGGGAGCAGTAAACAACGGCGTCGGAGCCGCGTCCGCCGCGCTTCCATCTTGGAGGAGCCCGAGCCGGAGCTGGTCGAGGACCATGGGCGGCGTCCTGGGCCTCTGCTCCCTGGCGAGCTGGGTAAGGGGGGCGCGGGGGTCCCTCCCTGCCCGTCGCAGGCTCGGAGCCGGCGGCCGGTGCTCCCTGCCCTTCTCTTCCCCACCCGCACTTCCCTCTCCGCTTCCCTCGCCGCCCGGGCCTCGCCCATCACCTCCCCGTGCCCGTGTCTCCCAGGGGCGGCTGTGGCGCTGCCTTCCCGTGTCCCCCGGCGCGGGGAGGCTGCGGGCCCCCTCCCCATTCCCAGCCGGGCTCTCGGCCCCGAGCGGGCGCTGCCCCCGCTCCTCCCGGGCAGGGCTCTCTCTGCGGGGCTGAACAGCGCGGGCCCCGCCGGGGGCCCCCCCGCTCGGGCTTGTCCGGGGATCTCCAGGCATCTGGCGGTGCCGTGTCGCCGGGGCCGTGGCGAGCTTCGTGCTGACCCAGTCAGGCTGGGCTGTCGCGCTGCTGGTCGCTCTTAATCCGCGTTATTGTCCTGGGGGTGTTACGGTGTCCACTGAAATTCCCTCTCCCCGGTTCTGTAAAGGAGTCACAGTCTCATTAAATGCTTTGAACTCCAGAGGTTTTTTTCAGGAAAATTAGAACTCGCGTGTTTCCCTGATTCTAATATTTGTATTTGAATTTCTCTTTCCTTTGGCTTTGTCTTGAGCAGCTCCACTCTTGGTAGCATCTTTGTCTGACCGAGCCATCGTTTTCTCAGTGCGCAGTAATCCGTGGTGGTGTGTCACCACCGTGCTAAGCATCGTCAGGTGTTTTTTCTTAACGGAGAACAATAGTTTGAGATGGTATTAAAACTGTTTGCACTATGCAGGAAAGCAAAGAAGTTGATAAAGGGTCCTCATCTGAGGCGTTGCTCTTTTATGCGTAAATGATGATACGTCTTTCCAAGTCTAGACCCTAGGTGTATAGGCACAGTCAGGTGGACTGTGAATTTCTGGACATTTGGCTTAAAAATGTCAGTGGAATAGCGAAAATCTAAATTTTCCATACCTAAAATATTGTATCATACACGGATTAAATTAGATTACCTGTATTCAAACAGTTCACACACGTTTTAGTGTAGTAAAAAAGCTTCATATTTATCCAAGCTCCTGTTTTTTGTACTATCAGAATGTATGGGCTTTGGCTGCCCTGGTACGGTGATGTTTAATTGAGATGATACGTAATTTGTACTCATGTACGAATTATATGAAATGATCCTAGAATTTGAAAACTTGTATGAGCTGACTTTCCAGACTGATATGCATGTAAATAATCAACTAGAACACTGATGGTACCCGGTTAACTAAGTACTGTCAGTGTTCATTTTCCTCTCTTTAAAATTTAAACACTACACTTAGCCAGTTAGACTTTAATTATTAGCTGAATATACTTAACATTAATTTTTTAAATTAAAATAAAACACTTAGTGACGGTGTGACTATAGGCTTTAATTAAAATACTTGAATTAATATATATAGCATTTTCAAGTTCATGAACAGCCTTTTTGACAACTGGTTTGTGTTTGTAGTACATGAAGAACCCCTGTGTACTTGCTTTTGAGTGTTTGCTTCTGTGCAGAGAAATTCAGCTAATGGCCTGTTAGATAAAATGATTTGCATGAGAATGTAATCTTAATTAAGTCAGATGTACTGTGAGTATCTAACCCTTGTCCCTTCCTTTAAAGTGCCCAAACAAATCAGGGTGGGGTTTTTTGTTGGTTTTGTTGGTTTTATTTTTCTTTTCTCCTGTTGGCTTTAAGCGTTGATTTTCTTTCCACATTTAAAACCACAGCTAATCAGCTCTTGAAGCCCATATTATAGCTCTTAATAGTAAAAATCTGCCCGTGCTGGTCTCTAAGGATATGTCACTAAAAACGCTGTTTTGGCTCTGAGAAAGAGACAAACTGCGAGGGTGAGGTAGCAGCTGAACCAGGTGTAGTGGAGTTTGTGCTAGTGCAGACTGTGCCATGGCCAGGAAAACTCTTTTTCCTGTGAGGACACTGCTGTCAGCGTGGCCTTGGCTGAGTTCTCTGCAGGGCCACGTGTTGTGCCGTGCAGAGCTGCTCTGCGTAGCCTTGATATCAGGCCTCATGCCAGACTTGTTTCTTTTGGACTTTTTGTGGTGTGTTATGGCTGATTGTAGCTCTGCCCTCCTGTGTGCTGATCGGGCAGTGTTTTACTTCAGTGTTTTTATGAGCAGAGGTGAGCTTGTCAGAGATGGCCGGTGAGATGGGGGCAAAGCTGTAAGAGCACAGTGCCGCTTTCCCTCTGCTGCATATTGCCTCTACTGCACTATTTCTCTGAAATAGCTGAGCTGCTGTTTTGCTCGCTTTAATATTCTCTGTCAAGGTAAAGATTGATTCAGTGCCTTTAAGCAAAAGAGTAGGGATGATGTAGCTAAAACCTGACTAGGCCCAGCGAGGACTTAGTGTTTTTGCAAATACTTAATTCAGTATATAATCATTTAGTCATTACTCCAGTAGGAAGATTATATTTGATATTAAAAATTTGTTCTGTGTCCATCAGGGCCAGTAACGTTTGATATTCAGAGATTTTGTGGGGTTTTCTCTCCTGTCTCCTGCAATATTCATCTTACCTGTTCCTCATGCAATTTCCACTACCCTAGGGAATGAAGTGACTGGTTTAGCAGGCATGAATTAGCTGGATGGTCTGCCCAGCTGGCTGCTCCTAGAATAGGTGTGTGGGTTGCCTTTTCTTATTTTGTCTTAGTAAACACCGCCAAGCTGCTTATTTTTCTCAAAAATGTAAAGGGATGCGAGTTGGTTGATAGGTACAAAAGTTTCTGGGTGGCAATAGATTTTATGCAGTTGAGATTTTGCAACTAGTGTCTAAGCTTCCCTATGAAAACAAGGAAAAAACTAATTGAAGAGTAACTTTTTGTCTGCATCTATGACTCAGCTGAGTCTTATATGAGGAGCTAAGCTTTGATCTGCATGGTAGTATCTTACTATTTGTACTGTTGCATATTTTTGTAGGAAGTGTGCTTCAAATTTAGGATGAAAGTGGCACAAACTGTCCTTGTCTCCTCTGCTGATAGACTGAATTCCATGGGCTGGATGTTCTTTACTTTCTGTTCTTTTCGAAGTCTGTAACTTGCTAGAAGTCGTTTTGCTAATAGTATAATATTATTTTATTGGAATGATGTATATTCTTTTGCCAAAGGAAGAGGGATTTGGACTGTAACGGGATTCCTTGTAGAAGTGGTCAACTTGTATAAATAGTATCAGTTACCAATAGGTGTCTCTTGTTCAGAGATGTGTGTGACCACAGCTTGAAAGCATGAGCTGTTTTGGGGGGAAAGTTTTATAAGATGATGTGCGAGTTCAGACTCTAAAATGAGCTATATTGTTTCTCTTGAGACACATTGTTTTCCAGTGGGGTGCAGACAGTCACCTTTATTTCAGCTACTGCAAGCATCTAGTATCTCTAGAAACATACTGTCTTCCCCTTGAGGCACTAAGGAGCAAGCTGCTTGAATTATTTAGGTATTAAATAATTTAACGTTGGGATTCACCAGAGAAGTGACTTTTTTACAAGGTGCTCTTTTCACCAAATTTTCTGCAGCAGATGAGCCTGGGCATATATTGTAATCTACCAAGTTCAGCCTTTTATTCAACGGTATCTTTGGAAATATTAATGAAGACAGAATTAGTTCAAGAAAGTAACTTTTTGAGCAGAGATGTTTTTCACTAGAAAGGCTGTGTGTGTAGGAAATAGCATAATACAGTAATACTGTAAAATTCTGATGCATTCTGAGCCAATATTTGCTATACATTTCCTATTTATTAAGCATAGATGCCCCTAATGTAGTTTTCACGCAGTCATATAACAGCCTCCAAGGATCATCTGGTCCATCTTTCATGGAAAAGGGGGCCTAGATGGGATGATCTAGTGCCCTGTCCAGTCGCATGTTGAAAACCTCCAGTGATGGAGACTACTGCATCCTTGGGAAGGTTGTTGCTGTGACTAATTGTTCTTACTGTAAACAATTTCTTTATTATATTGAGATGAAATGTCCTGTAATCAACATCTTCATATTATTTGTGCTATAATGATACTTAGTGGAGGAGAAGGTAAAAAAGGGCAATATAATAGCTTTTACATTCTGAAATAGTTAAAACTACCTAGTTTCACAAATTTAGTGGTGAAGTTTACTAATTTAAAGATGATTCTGTAGCATAGTGGAGTGAAAATTCTTGGTTCCTCCATCCTCAGGAATGAACGTAAGTACAAAAAGAATATAAGGAAATGATTTAAAAAACCCAACTCTGTGAGTCCAGGGTGTGAGTTGAACACTGTTCGAACTGTAAGAACATATAATCAGCCTTTTCCCCAAGGGCTTCTCAGGAAGCTTCCAAGACAAGAGTGTTGTGGCAGTTTGTCTGCTTTTCCCTGCAGCCCCTGGGGCCTTTCCGGTAGCAGCAGACTGCTGGCATTTTTGTTTGTCATATGACTAAACTTCTAAGAACTCTTTCTGACACATTCCGGTGGTACTGGGTGATTGACACGCCCTGGTCATGTGGCCATGTAACTATTCATGTCCTTATGTGACTGAGTGGGTGTCTTTCATGCACAGATGATGGACACCTGTGGCTTTTGTCACATGGCAGAGGTGTCCCTGGATGTGTGCTGGGGGAAAAGATGGGTTTTAACCCTGTTCTGTATCTTTGTCAGAGGTAGCACGGTCTATTGTAGCTCAGATAGGGCAGTGCTCACACATTTTGATTGTATCTTTCCTCTTTTGGTTAATGTTTACTTGTGGGACCTTACCTTTCTTTTGCTTCCCAAATTGCCATCCAGCAAGTGGCAGAGAATTGTTTCTCGCTCCCCAGCCCTTTCCTGGTGAAACAGAACTATCTGCTCCCTTTCTTTCTTCCGACAATTTTCTGCTGGTAAATTTTGTCCCGGTTTTTGTCCCTCTTGTAGTATTATAGCTGTACAGCATTCCCATCCACTTTTGCTGTTGATATTTGGTATCAATAACACACGTACTGTATATTTATTCTGCTCTTGCCTTTTGTAGCTTTTAGATTGCATAAGATGATTTTGCAAGCTAACAGAATTATGTGATATATGAGTAGATGATAATACAAAATAATTTGTAACCTAAGCTTTAGGGTATTTTACCTGCTTTTTGTGCTCCAGAAATGTTTATGGCCCCAGTGAGGATTGTGTCCCCACTCTGCCAGGTGCTAAAAGTGTACCTTCATGACAGTTATTTTTTTTCCTGCCTTGTATTTGTTTTATGTGTACAGCTGTGGAGGGGAGGAGGTAGTTGCTAATTTAACGTAATCCTTGCATCTTATTTAGCTGAAATGAAATAAATTGAAGAGAACAAATGAACCTGAATCAAGTCTTTGTTTCTTTTCAATGGATAAGTGATTACTTTTGAAATCGCACTGATTTCACTGTACAGTGGCGCATCAGGAAGCACTGCCAAGGTTGTTGGGTGGCTCTGTAAGATGTTGCAGTGACTTAGCCTGCACTGGTGGGTGGGATGCATAGGATGAGTCATTTTTCATCATAACTTCAGATGATCTACACAGCCTGATTAAATATTGAAATCTAGCAATGCAAAGCTTTATAAATAATTTATGTTCTGTCTCCCTCTCAGATACCGTGCTTGTGTGGAAGTGCCCCTTGCCTGCTCTGCCGATGCTGTCCCAGTGGAAACAACTCCACCATAACTCGGCTGATCTATGCCTTCTTTTTGCTTCTTGGCGTGAGCGTTGCCTGTGTGATGTTAATACCAGGCATGGAAGAGCAGCTGAAGAAGGTCAGGTTGCTTTATTGCTAACATGTTTGGTAGAACAAATGTCACAGATAATAGTAATTGACATCTTGAAAGCCTGAATTTTATTTGGAAATATGTAATTTTGCTGTCACTTGTGCTTCACAGTCACCATTTATTTGATCGTAGATCAAATAAACAAAGAACTTTTGGAAAATCACTTTATAGATGAAAAGAACTATTTTGAAGTGAAGTTACACCTTTTCTTTAATAGCTCGGAGCAGAAAAAAAATGGTTTTTTATTAAACAAGAAAATTTAATTTATGTGTGTATAGTTCACATTATGTCTTAAGGAGATGCTTGTTTTTGTGGCACTTGATTGATTTTGATCGCAGTTAAAAAATAGTCACAGTCTAAAATATCCTCTAGTTTTATTGTGCTGTACTAGTTAAAGTTCTATTTTAAAGTCTGCAATGCATAACAAAAATATTTGTCATTAATCATAGTAGTGTATTTTTCACTCAAGAAATTAGGAAGTGCTTGTGGAATTTTACAGTTTATTGGTTATATGAAGATGTGATAGTGCATGTAAAATTAGAGAGTGATAATGTGAGCTTACAGGTTCAGTCAGCTTGGGTTGCCTGTACTGTACTTCTGTTAGTCTTTGTTTTGCTGTCTTTGCTTATTTTTTCAGTAGATAGTAACTTTGGTTGGGCATGCTTTTAATTTTTCCCCCCCCCCAAAATGATTCATTTGTAAATGTTTATTTCAGTGTGGTATAGTAACCACACTGGGGCTTCAGTGAGAGCCATGTTAGTCATGTAGGAAAGAAAATTACAGCCTTCTGGAGTATGATTTGACTTCTAAAAGATGTTGATCATGTCCTGCTAGTGACTGGAAAGAATGTTCTCAACTGTTTTGTATGGAAGTTACAGGTACATCTAATTGATGGTGATGTTACATTTTTTGGGAGAGTCTGAGACTGAGATGTGAGCAGGCTGCCACCTCCTAGCTATGTCATGAGCCTGACAGTAACTGTCAAGTCAAATTTACCAGTTCCCAGATCTTTTATTTATCTCTTGATTCATATTAGGAAGTGAAAACTGCATTTCTTTGAGAAGTTCCAAAATTGCTAATAACATTTAAAAAACCTTCTGTTCCTAAGAGCCCTGTCGCATCCTTGGAAACTTTCAAGATCAGGTTGGATGGGACTGTGAGTAACTTGATCTAGTTGAAGATGTCCCTGCCCGTGGCAGAGGGTTTGAACTAGGTGATCTTTAAGGGTCCTTTCCAAACCAAACTATTCTAAGATTTATTTTTGGTTTTGTTTAGAATTTGCTTATGCAGGACTTTTTTTCCTTGAATATGTTTGATATCCCAGTTGGACTGTAAGTACCTATACAGCCCTTCAGTATCATATTTTCTAACAATGTTAATAGTTGCATAATGTTATAATGTTAATGAGTTACGTATTGGCAATTTATTAATATGCATTTACTCAAGGAGGTCTTTTAAAGATCACTGAAGTATCTTGTATTTATCACAGATTCCTGGATTTTGTGATGGGGGGATGGGAACAAGTATTCCTGGTGTGCACGGCCACGTGAATTGCGATGTACTTGTTGGTTACAAAGCCGTGTACCGTGTGTGCTTTGGCATGGCCATGTTCTTCCTCCTCTTCTCCTTGCTGATGATCAAAGTGAAGAGCAGCAATGACCCAAGGGCAGCGGTTCATAACGGGTAAGAGGCAGAAATGAGAACTGAGTTAGTGATTAATTTTTTAAGAGGAAAAGGTACACATGGCTGCTGCTTTTCAGAGCCTAAACTGTGACATTAGATAATCTGTCCAGAGGTTTCCCAAGATTAGAAATTCCACTTTTTTCCGAAGATGATGAAATTCAGAGATGAATAATGGCACTAAGGGATTTTTTTAACAAATAGATTAAAAAGCCTCATTTGTCCTCTGGGAATTCTGTTCCTCTTAAATTTGAAGTTTTTAAGGGCTTGCTCTTTTTCTGAAGAGTTTTGTTTTAAAAGTTATGAGTTAAACATATCTTTTCTCTGTCTGCCATCTTTTCTTCAGTCTACTCTCTGCATAAAGAAATGACATATTTAGTTTCTGAGCTTTCCAGTAATTTTATATTTCATTTTAGTTGGAGTTATCAGAGGGAAGAATATAGTGAGATTTCAGCTCATGGGTTGACATAAGTGGCAGTTTTCATCCAGGCTCTGCCTATGCGTAATGTAACTACTTGAACCAAGGAGATGTAAATATTTGTAAGAGGGCATGAGGCTAAAAAGCCTAAAGCCATTTATGGTGCCTAGTCTTGATGGTCACAGTGATTGCTTAAGACTGCTGCTTTTCCAAGGTGACTATACTTAACAGAAGCTATGAACAGCTAAGCCATAAAAATGATGAAGTAATTTTGTCTTATAGTCAGTATAGTAAGATTAAACATGTCTAACATAACATGAGAAAAAACTTCAAATTATTTCCCTAGGGGACAATAAAATAATTAAGACTCAGCAGAATATTGCTTTGTTTTTTTTTTTTTGTTTTGGTCTAAAGAAAAAGATACAGTACAGTATTAAGATACATTAGCAGTAACTCAGTTCAGCCTTTCCCTACACTCTGCTTTGTTCAGGAGAACGTGCTTGTTACAAGCAAGAAGAAAATGGTTCAGGTACATTCGATATCAGTGTCTTGTGTTCATTTTTACAGCAAAAGACATCTTCTATGTCATGTGGAATATTTTTACCTAAAACTTTGGGATCTTCTTGGTACCCTTGTTTGGGTTGTGCTTCCCAGTACAAATTTTTGTACTGTTTATGCAACCCATAGCAGTTTATTCTTTTTAGCCAATCTAACATGAGCACTGGAATAAAAAGAAAAATTATGTTTGTTAACTGTTACTGGTAAAATATTTAATAATGTTATTTCCAACACTTCTGTAACAAATGGTTGCTTCAATAAAATGCATTACAGTTAGCTTTGTGAAAAGCTTTATGGCTTTTGATTTTTGAAATTGTATGTATCTTCAGTAATACTTTGTGATGTAATGTTTCTGTCAGTGAATTTATTCAGAATATTGTTTTTTCCATCTCTATCTACTGACATTTTCATTCTTGCGTGCAAGTTAAGTCCGGTAATATGGTCCAGTGCCAATGTTCACCTCTGCTTTTTTAACAGCAATCAGAGTGGTTTCTTGCCTCAGGTTTATAATAACAATAGAAAAAAATCAATTATAATGTATTTACAGAATAGTAGCTGAGTTGCACAGAATGCATAACAGTTGTAGTTGTTGTCTAGCAAGTTAAAGGGTAGGGTGTTAAAATACCTTTAAAAAGTCTGGAATTAGAGATTAGATATATACAACCTTGAATCCATTCTTATTTCTGTAATTGAGAATGACATTGATTAAAAAAAAATAAATTCCTCATGTGGATTAAAAAACTAGTTTTAGTGGGGTACATATTGCACTGTAAATGTTATAACTTAATTCAGCTTTCAAACTGGCTTTAATCACTTCTCTATATCCCAGGGAATTACTAAATATTTTTCAATATACTACACTTCTATCATCTCATGTAGTTCCTCTCTACACAATTGGAATTTATTCCTCTGGTCTCCATTATTTGACTGTAACAGCCAGCAGGAGCGATCAGACTTGTTCAAAGTATGGGAAACAAAGGGAAGGGATAGAAAATTTGAAAACTGTCCCAAGTGTTTGACATTGTGGGGGTGTGGTACATGTCTTTGTGCTGTTATATACAGTTTTGAAGTACATGTAGATGACATCATGCCTGTATTTGGAGTTGCCTGTCACTGTGATCAGAAAAAACAGTCTTCACCTTCTTACAGTTTTATTATCATAACAGTTTGAATTTCCCTATACAGTTTATATGGGGTGAATTTGGTGAATCTTTGGTGAAATATACTCCCTTCTATGCTCTCTAAGAAACATTTGATGATCTATGGGTGCATATCTTTTACTGGAAAAAAATTCCAATGCCACTGCAGTGGAATTTGATTGTGTGTTTTCTGTGAAGGATTAATCATTTGCTTTTGTTCTTGTGATAGATCCTCATCAGATGTAGGCCTAAAGAGACTGAAGTTGGGTAGGAAAAATGCAGGCTTTGGTGCATATCTCTCTTGTAAGAAGTGAATGGAGACTGATAGGGAGCTCCAGCATAGTGTTTTCTGTCATTGTAGGCACCAACCAGATCTTCTACCTTTTTGGTTTTGATACTAGAAATAGTTAGGGATTTTTTTAACCAATTTTTTCTGATATGCAGGTAGTTCAGTAATCTCACTGCTCTGGCTAAAAATGTTCTTAGGAAAAACAAAACCAATTCAGAGTTGGCTTCATTTGTAATTCATGAGTGTGATCTCTCTGGGAAATATGTCAAACTCTGTCAGTCTAGCACAGTTGAAACATAATTTTCTGGATCACAAAAATCTTGGACGGATAAAATAAGAATTTTATCCTATTTCAAGAGAAGCAGGTTAAGAATGAGTGAATTAAAAAACTCCAACTCTTAAGGATGTGGATTTCTGTGTGAATTAAACAAGATGTAGCAGTTGCCTGAACTTTTTTTTTTTTTTTAATTTCCCCTTAGATTCTGGTTCTTTAAATTTGCAACGGCACTTGCAATTAGTGTTGGAGCTTTCTTCATACCAGAGGGACCGTTTACAACTGGTAAGGGAATATTGTCTTCCACTGTGTCGTGGTGCAATGGTAATGGGTTTTAAAACAAAGGCAAGTGCATGCTGATGTCATACAGTTTTAATTGTAGCTGTGTAACTATAGCATTTCTCTATGTTTAGGGACATTAATACAAATTATTAATGGTTCTTAACTGGTTTTGTTTTATTTCTCTTTTAGTGTGGTTTTATGTAGGTATGGCTGGAGCATTCTGCTTTATTCTTATTCAGCTGGTCTTGCTCATTGACTTTGCCCACTCCTGGAATGAATCTTGGGTTGAAAAAATGGAGGAAGGAAACTCAAGATGCTGGTATGCAGGTAAAGGACTGTACTACAATCAAGTTTTAAATTTCAGTTTATGTGCATTATATTAAATAAGTTACTCACTGAATAGTGCATTTTACCAGAGTGCAGAAGGTCTGCTTTATGCCTAAGTCTCAGTTTCTCAAATAGTGTAGTTCAGCTCCATTGATGTCCTTCTGATGTCAAGTTAAATAAGGAGAAGCAAGGAGGGGAGCAGCAGTCTCTGAGTAATAAGATCCAATCCCTGGGAACAGGGCATCAGTTTTGTAGCATCACAGACTGGGTGAGGTTGGGGGGAACCACAGCAGGTCATCTGTCCAACCTCTGCTCAAGCAGGGTAATCCTAGAGCACATTGCACAGGATTGCTGTTGGAACCCACCCCTGAAGGTGGGGTAACTGAGGTTCTTGTTACTAATAGATCCCTTGGGGCACATTAGAGAGAAAGTACACTAAATGACTGGTGTTTGTAAATATATATATGGCAAGTTTATTTCAGAACAGTTTGGTTGCAATGAAGAGGAGGTATGTAGCCATTATGGTTATTATCTGTAGAAATACAGCAATATAAAAGCATAAAAATAACACTGAAGAAAATGTATAAGGAAAAGAAAGGATAAGAGTAGAGAGATAACACCACCCGTGGGTCCAGCCACGAGACTCGATGTAATTCAGATGTCTGTTGATGGAAGTCATGGTCACAGTCTTGATCTGCCAAGGGTGGGGGAAGCCCATGAAACACAAAGTGCAGGAGGTTAATATATGCTGAGATTCAGGCAGGAATGCCCAGGTACTGCTCCTGGGGTGGGGTGTTTTATACTATCTGATTCAACACTGGATCATGTACGGTCCTCTGGTGGAAGGTGTGTGTGGGGGTGGTATTTCAGGGGTCCTTGATGGTTTATGGCACCTTCTATGACAGCTGCCTCTCACATCAGTGCAGTTGAACCAGTTACGCCCCATCAGAAGGGATTAGTGCCTTCAGGCCTGTATGTGAATGTGAATGTGAATGTCTCATGTGAATGTGAAAGAGAGTTGGGGAGGAGTTTGACAACTGAGCCAATTGTGTAAGGGAGAGCATTGGCATGATAAAAAGCATTATCCCACCTCTCGGGATCTGTGGCCTCTCCCCTTATTTGGCTCAAAACCGAGCTTGGGTGCTCACTCCATCTGCACCTGGGCTGTTCTTATGCAGATCAGAGGTTTGGCTATCACAGGTCCAAAAACTCTCCTCCTCCCCTTCGTTTGGGGGATGCAAACCTGGACTAATCAAAGCACCCTGCTGCTTTTGCCAATGGATGACTGTTTGAGTCATTAAGTTTAACATTTCAGTCTCTCGGGATTGCATCCAGATAGTTCTTGAATATCTCCAGTGAGGGAGACTCCTCACCCACACAGTAAAGAAGTTCTTCCTCAGATTCAAGTGGAGCTTCCTGTGCATCTTAGTATCAGGGAAGCGGCGACTGCAAGTTTTTGGGTTTTTTCAGCCAGAGGTTTTGTTACACCTTTATCACTGATTAGAAACAAAGAAGTCTGTTAGTGCTTCATGTTGAGCATAATCATCTCAAATAATTGTTTTTCTATCTACCAGTCTGTTATTCTTCGAAAGTATATGGTGGGTGAAAGGCCAAGATAGTGAAGGGGAGTACAAGTCATCTCGCTGGAGAAATGATACCTTATTTTAATATAGCATTTCAGATGTGATCATTTAGGTGTTTCAAAAGACAGTATGGCCTGTTTTCATTCAATAGCCACTTCACTACTTAATGTTTTTACTAAGATTTGGAAATGGGATTTTGTTTTACCTTCTGTTGGAGAAGTATTTTTCAGTTTCTTTTTTAAGCTGTTAGTTTCTTTTTAGCTGTTAGCTGTGTGTAGTTGTGTTCCTTTATACTTGCTCTTCCTAGTTGCTGTTAGAGCACTGGAGAATCAAGTAAAGCTTCAGGATTCCCATGTGTTATGTTCTTCCTTTATAACACTTCAGACTATTGAGAACTTCTGTTACATTTCAGTGCCTGTAACTCTCATTGTATACCATATCGAAAACCTGATAATCATGCAATATTATTTCAATTTTAATAGTCTCTGTTATTAATCAGTTTAACTATGGTTTTGTCTCTTCACAGCTCTGCTGTCAGCTACAGCTGTCAACTACCTGCTGTCTCTTGTAGCTGTCGTCTTGTTTTATGTTTATTACACTCATCCAGAAGGTTGTTCTGAAAACAAGACATTCATCAGTGTTAATATGCTGCTGTGCATTGGTGCTTCCGTAATGTCAATTCTGCCAAGGATTCAGGTGCAGTTTTAATTCTGTTACCTCTTAGGGTATGGGGTTTTTTTGTGTTATCATGATATAATTGTGCCTGAGACTTTTAATTGCCTAACTTCCCTATTTTTTGACTCCTTTGTGTAGGAATCTCAGCCAAGGTCTGGTTTGCTGCAGTCTTCAGTGATCACAGTTTATACAATGTATTTGACTTGGTCAGCTATGACCAATGAACCAGGTAAGTGCAGTAGCAATGCACGGCTTGTGCTTAGGTTTTGCAGATTACTGCATTTCCTCTGTGGTGTCAGGGTGATTCATCTCCCTACCAAGTTTCATGTTTCTTAGATGACTGAGATGCTACTGATTTTATTTTTCCAAACTGAGGATTTAAAACAAGTTTAAATAAATGTTGTCAATGTTTATTGTGTCTGAAAACAGCTGAGCATCTCTAAAGATAAATAAATTAATTCAGAAATTCTGGTGATTAAAATAAATTTTAAAATATTGATTTTGGTGGTTTTAATTGGATCTCTGACCCTTTTATCTTAACTATGGACAATCTTCTGTGCTTCTGTGTCACAGCATACCTGAGTTATATCAAATCCCGGCAGTGATTATGGGGAAATAAGATTGTCTGCTACTTTCAGCTGTTTAATCAGTATTACCTGTGGATGCTGCGGGTTGGGAACCGCTGATAATACGAAACCAACTTATTAGCATTGTTCTCCAACTCTGAGATGACTCTGGCACCCTATCTGTAGAATATATGTTTGTCATACTTGCTTTCTAGTGGTAGAATTTCTAAAGCTTAATATGCAGATATTTTAATTTTGTTGCATCTAATTATGAGATGGAACAGTAAAGCATTGGATGCATATCTTATGTAAGTTTAAAATCCTTTTATCTGCTTAGAGACAGATTTTTATGCTGCATACTGTCATTTCCCTGCTTTAGGGAGACTCGATAGGCTAAAATTAGATTCAAAGCTTTTTTAATTCAAGACTGTCACAGTTATGAAGTTCTTTTTTATTACCATGCGTTCAGCATGGAAATGTGCTATTAAATATTTGTCTTGTTTTATGTAAGTTCTAATACAATTTCCCTCACAGATAGGCGCTGTAACCCAAGTTTGCTGAGCATCATTGGTTACAACAGCACCAGCACTCCAACCCAAGGTCAGGTGGTGCAGTGGTGGGATGCACAAGGAATTGTAGGACTGGTTTTGTTTTTGCTATGTGTTCTCTATTCAAGGTAAGATTCCTTTAAAAAAATAATCTATTAACTTGTATTACTTCTTGTTGTAGGATACAAAATTGTGTTTATTTGGGTAACTGTACTGTGTCCTTTCCTGTTAAATACAGCATCCGAACATCCAACAACAGCCAAGTTAACAAACTGATGCTGACCAGTGATGAATCAACACTGATAGAAGATGGAATGCCCAGGAGTGATGGCTCCCTTGATGATGGAGATGATGTTCACCGAGCCATAGATAATGAAAGAGATGGAGTTACTTACAGTTACTCCTTCTTTCACTTCATGCTTTTCCTGGCATCACTGTATATTATGATGACACTTACCAACTGGTACAGGTATTTACATTTGATAATATGTTGTGCTTAACAATGAGCATACAAGATGCCATCTTTTGCTGGACAAGGAGACACAGGTTGTGTGCTCTGGAATGTAGGTCTTGAATGGGACTTCTCAAGGGACGTATGCTGTTTGAGCTATATTTAGTGAATTGTATTTGAAAATTAGGTGCAGCCAACCTTGTTTTCCCAAGTGCCTGTTGTATTTTCTAGGATAATTCTTGTGATTCACTGGACTGCTAAAATATGTCCTGATGAAGTGAACAGCCTAAAGACTTAAATTCTATAACAACTAAAAATTAGTAAACACTAGGCCCGTGTCTGGTACAGAAAGCTAGAAAAAGGAGAAATAGGACATGTTATATCAATAGGTCAAGGGAGAGGTGTTCCTTCCCATCTACTCAGCGCTGGTGACTCCGCATCTGGAGTGCTGGGTCCAGTTCTGGGCTTCCCAGTACAAGAGAGACATGGACATACTGGAGAGAGTCCAGCAAAGGACCACAAAGATGATGAAAGGACTGTAACGTGTAATATGAGGAGAGGCTGAGAGCTGGGACTGTTCAGCCTGGCCAAAAGGAAGCTCAGGGTGTCTTATCAATGTATATGAATACCTGAAGAGAGAGTGTAAAGAGGATGGAGCTGGGTCTTTTCAGTGATGCCCAGTGGCAGGACAGAGACAAAGGGCACAAACTGAAACATGGGAGGTTCCCTCTGAACATCAGGAAACACTTTTTTCATTGCAAGGGCTACTTAGCATTGGCACAGGTTGCCCGGGGAGGTTTGTGGAGTCTCCATCCTTGGAGGTTCTTAAAAGCCATCTGGGGCAGCTGGCTTTAGATGTCCCCACTGGAATAGGGGTGTTGGACCAAAGAACTTTTAGAGATCTCTTCCAACCTCAGCTATTCTGTGAGAGGGCCTGGTGGAAGGAAATTAATTGTCTGCTCCCTGAAAAAATCCTCACAATAAAATAGTCCTCCCGTGTGTGAATTGTTTGTTGTTATGTTAACAGCTAGAACAGATGTTCTTCAGAATTTAAAAATACAAATTATGGTCTCTAGTTATTTGGCAAAGGACAATTTGTATCAAAATAGCAACACTAGAAAGCTACTTCCTTCAGAAGTAACTCTGATAGATAGTCCTGGCCCTGCTTGGGTCAGTAGGACATCAGCATGATTAATTTTTCTAGGCGTTGTCTTTTGGAAAGGTAAAATACATTATTTGTCTCTCTGAGTGCTATCCATTTACTGCCTTTCTGCAGATTTGCTTAGAGATTCCTTGTAATCATTTCTGCTTCTTGACAGCTTCTCTTAGTAAATGTTTTTTGTGCTGTTGTTGTTTTCCACCTTCCTGTGACACCAACTTAACAAATGTTGTTCTTGTACAGACTGGTGTGAACTGGCTGGAAGAAGGGTACAAATGTCCTCTGAGGTGTGAAGTAAAAATGATCTACTTTGAAAAGAGTGTGGAAGGGTGGCTTAGTACACAAGTATGTTGTATTGAAAGAAAAGTTGCAAATTACCTTTTTCCTTTCCCTTTATTCACAGTCCGGATTCTACTTACGAGACAATGACCAGCAAGTGGCCGTCTGTCTGGGTGAAGATATCTTCCAGCTGGATTGGCATCGTGCTGTATGTGTGGACTCTGGTTGCTCCGCTGGTTCTTACAAACCGTGACTTTGACTAAGCTGTGCTGCTCTCCAGGGGGGCTGTGTCAGCTTCACCGTGTCTTCGAAACAAACAGTATTCTGGATAATAGTGCAGTTGTAAATACGTGTGTGTGTGCGTGTGCTGTCCATGTAGTATACCCTGCTTTATTCTGCATGATTACCTTGAACCATGTCTTCTGTCATTTCACTAAATGACTTTTTCTAGCTGAGCTCAATGATAATTGCTGTAATGATGGTTTTCATGGGATTACTCCTAGATTGAGTGCTTTGGGAGCACAAGATGTAAGATCGAGAACTATTACGTTTTTTCCCCTCAGTTGCATTAAATAGTTGTAGGAAAAAAAGTGCAAGTGTTAATTAGGGTAACTAAACAGTGCTAGGTCAGGCTTTGCAAGTAAAGGAGGGGCTGCCTTTGATGATCCCTGTTGCCTTGATTCCAAAGTAAGCCTTGAGTAAGCATTGTTAGACTCAAAATGGAGCACAGTGGAGTTTACTGGACATCTCGCAGCACTTAGGCACTAACAGCCTGACCTTTGCCATGCCGAGGGCAGCAGTAGCTTTAGCACAGATGTGATGGGGAAACTTGCACCTGGAGCTGCAGAGGAGCCAGTGTCCTCCATGGTGCTGCTGGGTCTGATGTGTCCCATTGCAGAAAGGAGGACAGGCACCCTGGGGAAAAAACATCCTCGTATCAGATGCTCAGAAGCATGTTTTTAAGGCACCTGTTTACAATGCGCATTTATGTATTATTATTTTTTTAAAGTAGTTTATATGGGATAGCTGTGCTGTAATTTATTGCTGTTCTGTGTGCCACTTTCTTCTTTGCTAAGCTACAATCACAGACTTTGCAAGGAGCTGAGTGCTGAAAGCTGTGTAAACCCTTTAGAGGAATTTTTTAAGTATTGTGATTAAAAAAAGAAGTGGAAGAAGAGGAGCACTGAAATTACAGTAACTAAAGGAGGGGGTTTGCATTTACTGAGGCTTCAACTAAAGAGTTTCTTAAAATATTTGCGGCTCTAAATCTTGAAATCTTTTACTGTATTAAGTATTTTGCTTGTTGTCCATTGCCAGAGATGGATTTGAGCCTAGGAAGTCTAACTCTAGGCATGAGTTAAGACATTAATCTGTTTGATTACAATATTATAGTTCCTGTGCAGTTATGAAATCTTAAATGCTTTTGTGCTTGCTGCTTTGTAATGGAAGTATTTAAGCCGCATTATTTCTCTCTATTACTTGTTACAACTTGAGACTAAAGCAGCCTGACTGGGAGTGACCCTGGAGCCTGCAGCAGATGTCATGCTCATCTCTTACTGTGGTGTTTGTAACTGTGACTTCCTGTTGCTGTTCTCTAAGCTTTTATTTTAATTCTGCACTGAACACTGACATTTACTGCAAAAGTCTGACATGTCAGTCAAACTTGAGATGATAATGAGTAGTAAAGGCTCGTAATAATTTGGAATATGTTGTTACCTTATTAATAAATAAATTTGGATGAAGATGTTCCATGACTTTTGATGTCTCATACTGCAGCCATATGTGGCTAGTGCAAAATTTTGTGTTATATTTTCATCCCCTCTTCTGGGATTCTGAACAGTAGCAGCTGACAGTGCTGCAGAGCACACCTGTTAAGGCAGTGAGTCCCCAGCAACTGGGGAGATCATGTGCAACCCCCTGGGTGAAGTTCTCTGACAGCTGTTTGTGCCCTTTGCAGCTGTGTCTCTGCAAACACAGCCATGCCTTGCACCTCTGACTGCATTCCTGCTTCATCAGCTGCTGCTGCTGCTGCATTGGATTGCACCTGCTCAAATTTGGTATAACACCTGAACACTCATTCTACTACAGCAGTTCTTCACTTTATTTTGACTTACTGTTTATATGAGATCAGGAGCTCAGGGTGACATGAGTGTGTCAGCTGCCCCTTCAGACCCCTCTGGCTCTGTAACACAACTACAGAAATTCACTTCAGCAGCTGTGACAGGCTTCAGTGAATGCAGCAATGGACACACCTTTGAGAGGTGTAGCGCTCCTCCACTGGAAGGAAAGCCACGGGGCTCTGCTGCAGTTCTCAGTAAGAAATCAAGACGAAAAACACCCTGTTGTGTACTATTACTGGAAAACAGTTTGCTGCCTTAAGCACTTATTTTGGACACTTTATTATAAACTGTAAAGTTTGGATATAAAGTGTTTTCCAAAAATTGTGCACAGAAGCAGACCTCCTTGCACAGCTACATACGAAAATATGAGGCTGTCAAATCCACACCCATCTGGCACACGGAATAAGAGACAAACTCTTAACTAGTATCACACTTAAGTAACATTTATTTTATCAGCATAAATGGTCCAAGTTAAAAGTACTCATGCAGTCATGGGGCCTGGCGGCTGTCAAGAACTTTTCCCCAGGTTGTGCTATCTGTGAGCACTTCCACTGAAGTGAAAGTAAGGCAGAACCAAGATTTAGCAAGGTACAGGCACTTTGTTCCCAGTTCAAGCAGGGAAAAAAAAAGCCTACATCAGGTCCTGGTCCCCCCACCCCAAAAAAGCCTCATGTGTTAGACAAAATGCTGTAAAAAATAAAAAACCCAAAATACAGAAAGTAGGTGTTCCCTAACCATACACTACTAGTTTATGTCATCATATATAAGACCAGAAGTATAAGAAACCATAAATGAAAGCTTACTACTTACCAGTGTTGGGTACTTAGCAATGTGTGCAACACAAGTGTTCACAGCAGTGCAGCAGCACTCTGACTAGTACTGCCAGCCGTGCCTGGTGGCTTGTCTAACAGTGTAACTGAACAATTGCTTGTAGGAAGATAGGAAAGGTACTTTAGATTCCACATACCTGGTTACATAAAACAGTGATTTACAAAAAACTCTCATACCAAACAATATTCTAAATAAATAGTTCATCTTCATGACTATATACAGAGTCCCCCTCGCATCAGTTATCCAAAAATGACATATCTGTGTCCATGGGCACTGGAGCAAGTTCGCATAGGTAGAACAGCGTGGCTTCACTTGCCTCTGCCTCTGTCAGTGGCTCCAGACGCACCAGTTTGCTCTGGGTGGGCTCAGGATCCAGGCTGCTCTCCAGGAGCTCATCGCCTTCCAGGGACTTGTCAACAGTGGAAGGAGTTTCAGCTGCAAAGCTCCCACTCTCAACAGTGGAGCCTGGGTTCCCATCGAGGAATGCAAGGAGTGGAAATGCAGTGTAATGTATCAGCTGCTTATCTAAGGGGGAAAAAATGCCCAGAACATCAGTCCACACACCTTTCTACATGCAGAACGAAAAAACAATATCCAACCCACAGCACTTATTTAGAGAATAATTAATAAAAAACCATTATAGGTGTTTGGTTTAAATGTGTTTTTATAGAATTGTTACATGCATATATAACGTTGTGCAGATTCTCCTGCAAAACATCAATTTCTCTACATCTGGTGCAGTGCCAAAAACCTAAGTCAAATATACCAAGTATTTTGTTTTGGTTATTTGTTCATCAGCATAACATAAAACCAGAAAAAGAGCAAATAACCAAGATGGCTTTTAGAACAATGCATGTTCAACTGTTTAAGTATTTCAACAAATCACCACAACTAACCTGATCTGGGCTTAGTAGCTTGTGTTTCCTGTGAAGCTGCTGGACCAGCATTATTCTTGTTAGTTTCTTTTCCCTTTGTCTCTGTCTGGGAACAAAAGCAAACTCTTTAACACATGCTTAAAGCCTGTACCAATGCCACTGGAACACAGCTGAGCAACTATTAAAAAAACCCTACAATTTTTATTTGTGAAGGTTTGCAGTGGCATTATCAGTATTATCCCTGCTAACAGACCTTGGCTGAGAAAATGTGAAATGGAAACATAGCCTAGAAAGCAAGAACCAAAACCAATGCTTGTAAATGAACAAGACAAATTCAAAGAGCTACATCTGCTTATTCTTGTGTTTCTTTTCCCACCAGACAATACAGATGAAACAAAGTCAAGAGACTGGTACAATGTAGAGATATTGGCCTCAAGATAATACAAGTTTTAAAGGACATTATTAATTACTGTCCTTTTCCCCTTTGCTGTTTAAAGCCTAACAGGATGAAATCAGCTGATGTGTTCTTATTCTCATGGAAGTCTTAAAAGTCAGAGCATGAAGTCCCATGATACCAGTAAAGAAAACAGCAAAAGGTGAGCAAAAGTTTGCATCTGTCACTACTGTGTACATCGAGCAATAGATTTAAGACTTACTTTGGTATTAGCGATATGATCATGATCTGTGGGATTCATCTGCACGGAGCTTGTAAAAAGCTGAATGAGACAAAACACATCAAGTTTTAGGTATCTTGATGCTGCTATTAAGAATACAAAACCATTGCATCTGCATGTGTGAAAATAACCCCTGTATTTATTCCACGCTCTATGAGGACTGGAGTTTATTTACAGGTAGTTACAACTTTTGCAAAGAAAAACTAGCTTTGGCACACAATGGTTTGCAATTCCATGAAGCTCAGTCACAAAGGAAACAACTATATTGCATCTAACTAACACAGTTTGCTGCAGTTTTAAAACACCAATTTCTTCTTACTTTGCTGTATGGATAATTCTGTCTACAATATGGACAAACACACCCTGCCCAAGGTTCCAAGTGACACCAAACCAGAAGGAGTCATCAGTATGTGGGAGAGCAGAGCTGCCATTAAGAGGTACCTCAACCAAGTGGGAGAGGGGCCAACAGGAACTCCACCAGGTTCAACAGCCACGCGTCTTCAGGACCCAGTAACCTCATGCACTGGCCCAGGTTAGGGTTAAGGAACAAATGGACAGGGAGTAGCTCCTCAGAGAGGGAACAGGGGAGTTGTGGTAGACAACACTGCCACCAGCCAGCAGCATGGCCTTGCTACAGGGAGAGAAGCTCTGCTATGGGCAGCACAGCCAGGATGTCGCTGGAAGCAATTATTTCTCTCTGCACAGCACCTGAGGCCACTTGAGGAAGAGTGTCCAGTTTTAGGCCTCCCAGTCTGAGTTTTTAAATTAGAGGGTGTCCAGAGGGCCACAGATGTCTGGAGGATTAAGGCATGCAAGAGGCTCAGGAAGCCTGGCTAATCTTGTCTGAAGAGGGCCAATGAGGGAGGATAATTGCCCTCTTCCACTGCTCTGTTACCGAGAAGGCAAACTCCACATGGACAAAGGACAAGAGGCAAGAGTGATGAAGTGCAGCAGGGCAAACTGTGATTGACATAAGGAAATGTTTCACTAAGAAGAGTCAAGAGCCTGTCTTTGGAGATTTTGAAATTTGAGTAAACAAGGTCCAGAGCAATAAGATTCAACTTTCAAGCTGACCCTGCTTTGAGAAAGGGGACTGGACTAGATGACGTGCACAGGTCCCCTCCAACCCAGACCATTCTACTCAACATAAACCTGAAGAAACCTGAAATTGCAGGGAAACTTGTAAAATAAATGCCAAGAGCCTTTTTAACCCCAGTTCATTGAGAAGACCACAGATGATGTGCTGGGTTATTTCAAAGCAAGAGTATTAGACATCAAGTTCATGTCACAACAAATATAAGCATGATTTCGTTCATTAATAAAGCCATTTTTCAATAAAAAACTTATGCATTCATTTGAGCAGTGGTGTAGCGCTAAGAATTATACCAGTGCTCAAGAAACATACATCAGTAAATATTTGTAGCTCAGCTTTGTAAAGGGAAGAGAGGAAAAAATATCAGTTGTGTTTTAAATCCATTCTTCACAGTAACAATACACACAAATCTTTTCTAATGCCTATTGCCCAAGTATTTAAAATAAACAGTCAAAATTACATCGACCAGGAGATCTGGATCTATGCTGAACTGTCGTCCCGATAACATAGCCTGGAAGTCCTCTAAACTGCAGTCGATACTGTCAAGATAAT